ACCTGATGTTTTTATTGACACAGTGGTGAGGATTTTTGTTTTCCTTACATTGAAGTGCAATCCATACTGAAGGCTGTGGTCTTTGATCTGAATCAGTAAATATTTTAAGCCCTCCAATCCTGATGCCATGTTTTTCTTCATATAATCAAGCATCAATATTTAATAATTTGGTGCTGATAGTGTTCCACTGCAATTCATAAGGTTTTCAGTGACTGAATTTTCGGAATTAATTCATCTCTTCTACTTCTTAGTATGTTTTCGTCTGGAAGCTCAGCTGCAACCTGTCCTCTTTGGGTGACCCTGCTCGTATTTAAATTACCAGTGGCATCAGGATTGGAGGAAGACTCATTAACAACCTGCAATATGCAGATGATACAACCTTGTTTGCTGAACGTGAAGAGGACTTAAAATACTAACTGATAAAGATCAAAAACCACAGCCTTCAGTATGGGTTGCACCTCAATGTCAAGAAAACAAAAATCCTCATCTCTCGACAAATAAACAATATCCATATAAATGGAGAAAATATTGAAGTTGTCAAAGACTTCATTTTGCTTGGATCAACCTCTTAGAAGCAACCGTCAAGAGATCAAACGATGTATTGCATTATGCAAATCTGCTGCACAAAATCTCTTTAAAGTGTTCAAGAGCAAAGATGTCAGTTTGAGGACTAAGGTGCACTTGACGCAAGCCATGGTATTTTCAATAACCTCATATATGCATGAAAGTTAGATAGTGAATAAGGAAGACCAGAGAAGAATTGATACATTTGTGTTATAACGTTGGAGGAGAATACTGAAAGCACCATGGACTACCAAAAGAACAAACAGGTCTGTGTTGGAAGAAGTACAGCCCAGTGCTTCTTGTAAACCAGGATGGCCAGACTCCGTCTCTCACACATCGGACAAATGTCAAGAGGAACAGTCCCTAGAGAAGGATATCATGTTTGGTAAAGTGGGAAGACCCCATCGAGATGGATTGGCACAGTGGTAGCATCAGTTGGCTCAGACGTAGCAACATTTGTGAGGTTGGCCCAGTGTTTCATTCTGTTGTACATAGGGTCGCTATGAGTCGGTACTCATTCGATGGCACCTAACAAGACAATACAGCTTCACAGATTATTTGCTCAGCATACAGATGGAATAATTATGGTGAAAAATACAACCCTGACTCACACCTTTCCTAATTTTAAACCCATTCAGTGTTCCCTTGTTCTGTTTGAACAGCTACCTCTTGTCTATGTACAGGTTCCTCATGAGCACATTTAAGTGTTCTGGAATACTCATTCTCTGCAATGTTATCCATAACTTTTCATGATCCACACAAACGCCTTTGCATAGTCAATAAAGCACAGGCAAACATATTTCTGCTTTCAGCTAAGATCCATCTAGTGTCAGCATCCATGTCTTCCTGTGAATCCGACTTGAACCTATGGCAGTTCCCTATCAATGTACTCTTTTAGCCGTTTTTGAATTAGTTTTAGAAAAATTTTACTTGCATGTGATATTGATGATACTGCCCTATATTTTTCACATTCCTTTTGGTCACATTTCTTTGAAATGAGCACAAATATGGATCTCTTTGAATCAGTTAACCAGATAGCTGCGTTCCACATATCTTGGCATATATGAGTAAGTGCCTCCAGTGCTGCATCAGTTTGTTGAAGATTTCAATTTGTATTCCATCAGTTTCTGGCATCTTGTTCTTTGCCAGAATGCCTTCAGTACAACCCAGAGAGGCACTTGATAAGGAATAGTCTATTCTGCATTGTGAGAGTTAGATGGGAAGATGGAGGCCATAAAAGTCTTCTTGGAAGAGTTGATGCAGTAGCAGATATCTGAAAGATGATCTTGGTTCATGGATCAGTGAGGACAGGAGCCTTATCACATGGCAGGCTTATTGAAATATCCAGTGGGGATAGAGACATAGAGACATGATGAACACTGAATCCTCCTTCCCTCATAGAGGATACAAACACTGAATGAATATATGACCTAGGAAGTGACAGATGCAAAGAAACAACACAAAGCAAGTGTGCCAAAGAACACAGAGGTGAAATGACACAATATATTGAACTTGCTTTAAAATATTGAGGTAAAATATAGACAGGATAGATGAGGCAAGTGTGATAAAATATTGATGATACTAGGATCTAAGTGTTAGATGTAATATGTTAACTACTTTTATGCTTAGAGTTTTTTTTAACGTTAAAATAAGGAAAATGAAGGCAACAGATAATGTGGCAAAGAATGGTAGTGGGCATCCTGTGATATAGCATTACATAAAAACCCTAGGACCAGCTAGGAATTCTTGTGTGGGATGCCTTTCCCTCCCAAGTGAGGTTGTCAAACCAGTGGTCTAGCCCGTACATCTGGAGTCCAGTAAGAAAGACTGGGCTGACAAGAGATGTTGCGAATGAGTAGGCAACAAATAGGAGATGTTTAAATCATGGGTCTAGATATCCTTGAGTAGGGAGTATAGACCAAGAGAAGAGGACAAAGTACTCCACTCATCAACTTGAAGTTTAGGTCCTAGGGAAATGAGAAGTTCTAGCAAGGATACTGTCTGGCTACCTTAGAAATCAGGAAAAATGCCTTTGAAGCATGGTGCTGTAGGATCAGCGCTGGACTTTGAACCACAAGGTTAGCAGTTCAAACCCACCAGCCTCACTTTGGAAACCCTATACAGTGTCACTATGAGTTGGAACCAACTCAACAGCACTTAACAACTGCAGTGACAACAGGGATAGGGAGTAGCCCACTGCATTATATGGGGCTGCAAGGTCAAGTAAACTTCAAGGTCAGGTTACGCATTGTATAGGTCTTGTCACAAAATACCATGTACTAACTGCCTAGCTTTAGAAAATCTTACTATTTTTTGTGGTTGTAGTTTCAAATCTTTGAGTTAAAAAAAATGAAATAAAACATTCATGATGCAATGACTCTATCCCTGGTATTATTGATGCAGTGACTCTATCCCTGATATTATTGATGCAGTGACTCTATCCCTG